AGAGGGCAGTCTTCAATCCACCCGTAAGTTGTAATAGCCTTTCAACCTAGTTGCAATTTATTTCCCCTCAAGGGATCTTTTGATATACATATACTTTACCGTGTCTATCCATCCCAGGAGTCCTACAACGGATATCCGGGTATCCCCAGGGATAAAGGCCAATGGCCGGCTGGAAGGGTTTCCTTCCAGCATGAAAGGTCCTTCAAGTCAGCAAGGATGTACCTCGTTGACTGGAAGAAACCTTTCCAGGCGAGGTACATGTACCTCGTCAATCCTGACAGTATAGAGGTCACCAAGGGCCTGCAACTACTACAACATAAATTCAAGCAGGCCAAGAATCAGAAGGCGGCATTGCCAGTACCTACCAATCTTGATTTTATGGTTGTTAACCAACCTGCCAATTACTTCAAGCCCAACTCTCTCATGCATTGGTTGGTGCAACAACCAATGACACAAGATAGCAAAATTGAGGCTTACATGAAGGCCAACATAACCATCAAAGTAGATGATTTGGTGCACAAAACCACACTTTTAAGGTGGTGGAAGTTGAGTAACTTTCTGTTAGCCTGCTACTAATCAGAGCCAGCCTGAAAATAGCAATTATTTATAATTAGAGATATTATTACTTACATATGTACATACAATATAAAATATCAAAAATATAATATTTAAATAAGTGGAATCACTATAATAGAGACATTATTACACATTACAAAGATCTTGTACCAGGAAAATTGCCAGGTAGTTAGAGGGCAGGTGACATGAAGGCCTCTCCAGATTGATCTCCAATTGTACACTATGTTCACAAGTAGTCCACCACTTGTTGAACTTATCTGGATGAGCAGGTCCAGCCACATTCAGCTCACCTGTGACAGTGCAGTCCTGACTCCTCATTACAGCTCATTGCCCTACCTGAGTTATTGTTCAGATTGATTACATATATGCATATATGTGGCCCAGCTGTTGGGCTGAGGTTCCCCAGAAACAATGGTGGGCCAGCTACACTGGAAATAACTGAAGCGCAGCATAGTGTTAGCTTATTTCAGCTACACTACTCAAAATTTAGTGTTAGCGCCAAATTTGACCAGCTAACGCTAAAGATTTTTTTTTTGGGGGGGGGGGGGGTTGGAAAAACGACTCCCAAAAATTTGCCGACAACTCCCATTTTGGTTGGGAGTCGTTCTTCCAAACTGATGGCCGACCATCTAATTATTTTTTAATTTTTTTAATTTTTAATTTTTAGGGAGTTGGCACCCCATGCTCCCATGACCAGAAGGATTTCCTTCCGGTTGACAAGAAACAAAAATCTCATTGACCAGAGGGGATTCCTTCCGGTCGATGAGGTATAACAACCTCATTGGCTGGAAGGGATTCCTTCCGGTCGATGAGGTATAACATCCTAATCAACGGAAGGAATCCCTTCAGATCAATGGGGTATAAATATCTCATTGACCGGAAGGAATCCCTTCCAATTGATGAGGTTGTTACATCTCATTGACCGGAAGGAATCCCTTCCGATCAATGAGTTTGTCTTCCGATCAATGAGGTATATATAACAACCTCATCAATTGGATCTGGACAACCTATAAGGAGCATCCCAACGGGGGCATCTTTCTATTGAATTTTGGGGTTGTTTATTGCAATGGTTCAGTAAGCCTGAGCACATCTTTTGGGCTTAATCACCACAAATATGCCATCTAACCATCCTTTGGTCAAATCCAGCTAATTGTGGACTGTTGGCAAGGAATCCTCAAGAATTTTGAGGACATGGAACAGTTAAAGAGGACCCTGGACAGTCGACTCTATCCTCTGATACAGTATCATATCACAACCCAGTACAAATCAACTCATAAACTCATTCAATCCAGGAAGCACAGGAGCCTTGTCTCCCCCAACTTCAGGCCCTGTGTCCATCACCAGTCCTACTAATCCCTCAGGCCCACTCCCTCACCCATTTGACAGCTTCTGGAAAGTTTTGGGCCCATTTCATCATCTCCAACATCATGAGTTCCACAAGCTGGTCCAGAAAACAGCCAGAAATCCTGATTTTTGTAGATTGCTTCAAAATGTCAGAGACCAGAAACTTGTATCAGGTTCAATTGAATTTAGGGATAGGTTAAATATTTATCCTTTATAAAACATGAAGAAAGACTGGAAAAAAGATGTGCAAATTATTGCTAAATGCATAGTAGAGTGCTCCACTGCTCATGGAAGCCTTCCATGGTGTAATAAGACTTTCAAAAATTGACTGGTGATTTTGTCATCTGTGGCCTGAACCATTTGTAATTGTTGGTCAATTTTTCTCTTGTCAGTGTTCTGAAATTGAGAAGGAAAATCAACACTGGCAGGTTCTATGAGGAAAACAACAAAAAGATAAAATCCAAATAAAACTAATAAAGTGTCACTTACCACGGGCATCTTGTCAACTTGATTTCTAGCTTCCTTTTTCTCAGAAGTATCAGCAATTGATGCAGCAAAGGTGGAAATATTGATGATGTGAACCAACTTTGCGGTTAGAAACTGTGGGAAGCCAAGCCAATTTCAGTGGTCACATGGTACTTGACAAATAGGGTGAAGACCAGCAACGCTTACCTTGTGCCATTTTGAATTGAAAAGCAACGGTATTTCTTTAGCTAGGTAATCCATTAGATTACAAGTCAATTTGACAGTGAGGTGATCCATTACTTGTGTGAAAGATAATGGGTGGCTGGGTCTCCATGCTTTAAATAAGATGTCCAGTTGCAGAGAGGAGATTCTTCTGATGTTCTGCATGGTCAGAAGACCTCTGAGGGGCTCCTGGATCGGCTCAAAGAACAGGCCCACTGTGGTGGATTCATGGAGTCAGCCATCAACCGCCTTTAAAGTTGCTCAAGTGATTGTTAGACCTACAAGTGCCTTGCCCAAACTGTGTTGCTGCAGGTGCTATGTCAGTCAGACTGACTGTGACCCCTTTTGAGAACTGGATGTGAAGGTTTCAAGGATCATATGAGTTGCTCCATTTGTTTATTTTAAGGATTGATACGTGCACATGAAACTCACCCAAAGGAGTGTGCAGAAGATAGTTGCAAGAATCCTCTGGATAATTGTTTCTTGAGGGTCCTCCAATCTCCCGATGAGCTCTATTGTGATATTCAGAAAGAGGGGGCCATCCACAGGGTTGAGTAACAAGCATGCAATTGGATTGGTGGATTTTGGCACCCAAACATTACGGGTGATGGAGTAGAGAATTTGTTTGAAATCGTGTTCAGGATCTTATTGAGTGCTGACTTGTTTTTGGCCAGTGTTTTGATGAGTATAGAGAAAAAAACTTTCAGAATCCATCCTTCAGAGTTGCTGGTTTGTCTGTGTGAGTGCAAGTAATGAAATATAATAAATTAGTGCTGACGTGTCCAGACCCAAGGAATGGTGAGATCAATCTTACTTTTGAGGCTGGTGAGTGTGAGCACAACTGGAGTGATGGTTGAATTGTGATTAAAAGGTGATTTGATGTCTTCTTGACTAGAAAATCACGAATTGGAAGTCAGCGCACAGCAGTTGAGATCTGAATCAGCTGTGGAACACAGCCCCCCCTCTGAATTGCAAGGTACTAGATGTGATATCTTTTTTGATCTCATTACTTTTGGAATCTAATTACTTGTCTTATCTCTCACAAGAGGATAGTACCGGGTAAGTTTATCATATGATAAACTTCCTGAAAAAACATAAAATGCATTGCGCTGATCACAGAAACTGTGATCATTTGTTGAGAGAGACTGTTCAATATTGTGAACAAGAGAAGAACAAGATAATAGCTTGTGAATCAAGTAGTGATGTCATTGACTTGATAAGCAAATAAAATAATGATGATCACAATCAATCAGTGAGCTCTAGGTGAGTCTCAATGAATTGAATCAAAGTAGCAAGGGTTAGAAGCAAAGAGCGGTCAAGTTCTGATTCCTTGGAGAGATGGTGGCGGATATCCACTATCCGCTGGCAGATACCTGCCAGTGGGTGCGGATGTTCTTTTACCCCCAAAATCTGATGTTGAGATAGCCCTGATTATGAAGTAATCTGTGGATGGTAGGGGCTTGTTGGATGGGGAAAGTTGGGTCCACATGCACACACATACTTCCACATTCTAGACATTCCCTGTGAGAGCAAACAAAGAACTTCCATACTGGGGTTGGATGAGAGACATCACTGGACAAGGGCACTGAATGAGTGATGCAGCTGCTCTCAGTAGGAAATTTGGGATGGCAGAACACAGCCATATGGGTTATGTCCACATCCTGAGACTCCCCAAACCAACTTGAATGTTACAAAAGAGAAATCAGAGCTTTTTAAAGTTCATCTTTGATGAAAGAAGGTCTACTTCAACATGATGAGATTGGGGAGGGCAGGTGGAAGAAGTTGGGCACCCATGTAATTATTCATTTATGAATTAGCAGACCCTTCCTCACAGATTTGGAAAAGAGTAACCAAACATGATAAGCACAACAATTGACACCAGTTGGGACCCATCAATTGGAGTGGTGACCTTGGCAATGACAGCTGGATGGGTTGTGAAATCCAGACAAAAGCAGCTACCCCCAATGGAAATCTCCAAGACATGATTCTAACATTTATTCAGTGCATCAACAAGTCTGAAGCACCACTTCAATTTGTTAAGGCAATCCAGATTTGCAAGCATTGGCATAAGGCTGGGAGGAGTTGGGTACACACTCCCCCATCAACTATCCAAAGCTGCTTGCAGAAATGGTTTGATCAACTCTCCACCTTTCACTGAGATGTGGGGCTCATCTTGATACAGTGGTTGTTCAGATGAACCTCTACTTGTGACTAGGGGTAGACTTACTCTAGTCAATGTGGTATATTTATGGATAAGAAGGATTATAAGTCAATTTATATAGAGATTACCTACATAAATGCACAACAAAGTGAAACCATGATATTCTAATGAGAAAGAAGAAAGACAAACTGTTCATTGGTTTATAAGTAAATTTATATAGTTATCAGATTACAAGAGGGCAGATGAAACACAACAGATTAGATCAAGATTGGTAATTTTTAATGTGCGCCAAGATGCGCTCAAGTTTGATATTGATAAGTTGCTCATGGTCTGGCTTCCATGAGCTGTGAGATCGAGCAAGGCTGAGGTAAGTTAAGACTAGTTCCAAGCCATATTTGCCACTGGTTATGTGAGTTGAGCCCACATCTATGCCAAAAAGTGTATCAAGGGTTGAGTTGACGTTCATGAATACCGAATCCTCCTCGGAATCGTCGTCAACCCCATCGGTTGGGCTACCTGAGCAAAGCTGTCAGATTATTGGACTGGCAGGGGGGGATATCAGTGCATTCAAGGAGTGTTTGGATGGCACTAATTAGCTCATTGGTCTCTGAGCTGGGGTCTGGCAGGGGAGGGGTTGGACGAGCACTGCTGTTGTTTTCGATGTCGAGTTGTTGTTCAAGTTTGTCTTCATCTGTGCAATTGATGATTGACATCATCTTGCCCGAGACTCTGGTCGGCATCGGCATTGCCACTCTTTTTGACCGGAAGACTGGCCACGGTATTTTGTTGTCGGAGTGACGGTTCCAAAATTCGATGTAATCTGCAGTGATAGCACACGAGAGGATTTTAGTGAGGCACACGATTTTCCTTGTATTAGGCATCTTCTGCATCTTCTAGAAGTTCCATAAGAATGATTTGGCGGCAGCGGGGCCAGTGTTGACGTGGTTCTAGCAAAAGGGGGTTGGGTTGAGTGGCGTACCACTTCAGGTAGGCGACAAGTGTTACAAGGCACTCGGGGGGGATTTGTTTGGTTCCGGCATACAGTAGACCGCTGACACCACCCACCAGGAAGGCACAGAGGTATTGAATTGGAAGCTTTCGAAGTGTGCTGGTAAGATTTGTGCCGCCCGGGGTTCGGATCTCTTACACGATGGATTTGATTTTGGTAACTCTTGTTACAAAGTTGGTTAATGTTGTTGTGTCTAAGCGATCCAGGTTGACTTTGGCAAACGCATGGAAGATGGCAATCAAATCCCTGATGACCTGAGGCCATTGCTGATGGAAGTGCGTTGGTGGGGCCTCAGACGCGGCCTTGGCCACATACTGCAAAGCGCGTTGCAATCAAGAATGCGAGACGGGGAGATCAGGATCATCTTGAAAATGCTTGAAAAAAGTGATGACGATTGCCAGGTGGATGAGTTTGGTGTTCACTGTCAAGCTCATGAAGTCGGGATTTGCAAAAAAAAATTGGTCAGCTTTGATGTTGGCTGAGCTTGTATAGCACAAGGCATACCTAGTGCCAAGAGCTGTCTTGCCAAAGCTTCCGGGTTGATTTTATCTTTTGGACTTGTGAATCCGCGGTGGAGGACAGTTCAGGGCAGCGTTCCAGAATGATCAGAGTATGCTGACGTGTATAAGTCAAGGTAGGTGTCAATCGACAAGCCTAGCTGTTGCAGGTGGATAGGTAGCAGAGTTGGCTGGTTGAGAGTGAAGGAATTCCAATAATGCAAATTGAGAGGGGTGAGGGGTAGAGAATCCAGGGGGAGCACTTTGAGATGTGAGCTGATGGGTGTCGAGATTGACAGTTTGATTGGACATTTGCTGTTGCAGCGATGTCAGTACGTTGGCAAGGCTTTCGGATTTTTTGTCGAGCGTTGCGAGCTGGGTTTGCACCTTGGATACACTCTTCACCTGATCATCGATTTTCTTGTTTGTGGGTTTTAAAGAAGACAAGCGAGTCACGTCTTTGCGAAGCTTACCGATCTCTGCTTGGAATGCGGAGGCGGTCTGCTCAGATTGCTCCAAGCGTTCCCGCAAGAGCCGGTTTTCTTCCTGGAGCTGGAGGTTTGGGGATTTTTGTACATGCTTGATGAGGAGGTAGTGTTGCTGCCAGTGCGTTGGCGTTGTGGTAAGATTGATCAAACCCCTAGATATAATTAAAAACACTTTATTACATATAAATAGTAGTTAAGATGTTAGAGAAGAAGGGGTAAATTATAGAATAAAATGTATAATAAATATTGGGTTAAAACATAGCTAAAATAAAGCACAAATTAGGCCTAAAATACACAACTCCATATGAATAATAACAATACAAATAGACTGTAAAAACACATAAAAGATACTACATCCATCTTAGACTGATAAATCAAGCTACTGATCAGAAAGTAATTCACAGACTAGTTCTAGAAAATAGCTCTTATACTAATTAGTCTAAGATCACCATTCTCATAGCAATTAATCTAAGAATAGGTCTCATATAGTAGATTTACAACCTCTTGTATTAGAAAGGCACTTAGAGATTAATTCATAACAGATTGGGCCATCTCAGAGTAGTAAAAACCACTCTAGAAGTACCCTTCTCAGACTAACTTGTGTTCAGGCCAAAATCTCATGTACTGCAGAACAATTTGTCTATAAATAGAGGCTCTTCTGGCCCATGTTTCCCTCTTCCCTCCTCATGCTAGCTACAGAACAGTAATCAGAGATATTACTCAGCTTTCATCACCCCTTGATTAAGAGATCCAGAGATTATTAGAGCCCTTGAAACTTCCCTTACCTCAATTTTGGCCATAGAAAAGTAATTCAGAAATATTGCTTAGCCATCCTCAACTCTCTTGCAACAGATATCAGAGAAATAAGTGTACCCTTTATCAGAGCCCAGAGAGACCAGAGAACCAGAGAGAAATTGTATCAGAGAAACCCTTCAGAAACCCTTACCCCCAAGAAAACACACAATCTCCTCACCTCATAAACAGGTATTCTTAAGCCACAAAACTAGTAGTATCAACACTAAGATAAATTTAGAAAGAAGCCACACTCTTATTTTTTTCTTAGTGTAACTTTCCTGCAAGCTAGACAGGAGGGCAGTCTCACCCACACACAAATACTAATTCTACTATTTCTTAGTCTTATTAGCTATTTTATCCCCTCCAAGCTCTTTACTCACTTGCTGAGCAGTTCCACAAGTGGTGTCCCAACAGTGGCAGATTTCCTCAGATAAATTTAGTCTTTAGAAGATACTACTCCCTTTGCTAGTCTTACTCAGAATAGCTGAAACTCTCTCAAATCTCACCTTAGATTATTAAGAACCCTTTATAAGCAGATTAGCAGAAAAATGTCTGAATACACTCCTCTCAACAACGTTGGTAACGCTGCCTTTACCCAGCATTGAGAACCATCCGTAGCCTCTTCTGGAAGCTCCCTTATACATCCTTTGGACACCAGATTAGATATGCCACAACCCAGTCCTATTACTCCAGATAACCATCTTCGGTCTCATCATTCAGTAGCAGAATCCAACACCCATTTCCTCCAAAAAGAACCAGAGATTCCTAAATACGCAGGGCCAACCGATGGACGTAGGGTAGTCAAGATTAAGCCTTTGGACAAGGAATTATTCTTTGATGGAACAAACATGCCGATAGAGAAATTCATCAAGCGTTACAAGCGTGCGGGTGAAGCGGATGGAGCTAGCGCTACGGATTTGGCAAAACAAATCATCTTGTTTATAAAAGGAGGCGATCTGAAGGATGAGGTCGAAGAAATGGAGGGATATGAGATGGTCGAATGGGAGGAACTGAAGAAACAATTGTTGGATTGGTTCGGAAAGTCTCTGCCCCTGGTGAAATATACGAAGCAAGACTTGAAGGATTTAGTCAACACCGCTGCCAAGAAAGGAGGCATTCAAACCTTGGAGGAGTTTAAGATATTTCGGTCAAAATTTGAAATGATCACTCACTACTTGGTTTGGATGGGATACAACTCTGACTTGGAAGATTTTTGAGAATTGTTGTTGGAGGCTCTTAGTCTACTGTTAGAAACTGCTATCACTCGGGAGCTTATCCGTGATAATAAGATGCGCGTTTCTAAGGACGGAGGCGAAATTCTACCGGTCACCAAGATCATCGTTCAATACATTCAGAGAGAAGTTCAGTCAACCTCTGTAATGGAACATAGATCTTTGGGAAGACTGGAACAAACCAACGTAGAGCCAGGAAACCCCATTCCCAGACCTCCAGCACCAGCACCACAGCCAGAATCCTACGAGAAAAAGATTCAAGATCTTACCAGACAGTTAGCCTCTTTAACTGCAGGAAAGATGGCACCTCCGCACCAACCTTTGGACGCAAATCTTCCACCCTCAGCTGCTCCAACCAATGTACCCTTCAAAAAGCCAGATTTCAAATGTTACTACTGTTTCCAAGATAATCACAGTAGCAATAGATGTAGTTTATTTACCTTTGATGAATCTCGGGGACTAGTAAAACGTGAAGGACGGGACTATCTTCTGCCAGACAACACCAAAATAGCATGGGATACTAGTCGAGCCATTAAAGATGAAGTGGATAAATTTGATCAAAACTCTAAGAAAACTACTGCGGCTGTGGTCACTTCCTCGTTTGGCAAATTGGAGGAATGTGAAGTTGAAGAACACACGGCGTATGATGTGGACTTGGGGAAGCAAACACGATTGGAAAAAGAACCGGAAAAATCTGGTAGTGGGAAAAAGGGAAGAGTTGAGAAGGATGCCGTAATGGATATTGACGCCGAGGATTTGATCAAGAAGGCAACGGCTCAAAAATCTGCTCAAGGACCTTCGAAAACTACTACCATACCCGCTAAAGTTAGATTTGAGGAACAAAGATCCGAGAAAGAAGAAAGAGAAAAACCGACAAAGAAAACTCACTTGGAGAAAACTTTGGCAAAAGAATATCCAGGAGTTGAAGAAGAAACAGCGAAGCGCATGTTGTCAGAAGGAAAAATGACTCTGAGTTATGGAGAAATTTTTGCAATCTCGAATGGAGTCGTGGATATTTTCCAGAAGAAGATTTCGAACAGACGAGTACCCGTGGAAGAAAGCGAAAGTTCTAATCATGCATCTCTGGAAAACAATGATGAAGACAAACTCTCAGTAACACACTACTCCTGCCCTTTAGGTTATATTAAACTTAGTATTAACGGTACCAACAGCAAGGCTTTATTGGATACTGGATCGATGGTGAATTTGATGCCGGAGCATATGGCGCAAAACCTAGGGTTGGTCGTAACCGAGAAACCGATGAACTTGAAAGGAATAGGTGGACACCAGACAGGAATCATTGGAATCGCTGAGGGAGTTGAAGTGGTGATCGGAAAAATAACGAGACCCGTTCACTTTTGGATAGCCCGAGGAGCGGTACAGTTCATCTTAGGGAAACCTTTTCTAATTGACGCTGCAGCTACGATCAAATACATGGATAATGGCGGAGAATCTTTGGCTATCATGGATAAAAAGGGAAAGACTTATTTAATTCCAATTTTATTACCATGTCATCAGAAATGGGAGACCACTTTACCCACGCATCTAGTTACGCGGGATTTTTTAGATTAGACCCCGGACAAAGACTGCTTGAAGTAGATAAGGAGCCGGGGAAGATTAGAATTGAGTGTCAAGCTGCAAAGTATAAATCTACTGCAAAGAAAATTAAACCTATAAACATACCTATGCCAATGTCTATTAATCCACCTCTCTCAAGGCCTGCCTTATCTCGGGACCCTTATTTGACTCCAGTTGTACCAAATCCACCAAAATTTCAGCCTACTGCAAAAATTACAGAAGAAAGATTAAAAATGATTAATTTTGGCTCCCCAACTTGGTTGTCAGAAGAAGAGAAAAATTTATTTTGTCATATCATCACTCTTAGAGCTGGAGCACTAGCTTTCTCAGAAGAAGAGTGTGGGCTTTTGAAGCATTCTTACGGTAAACCATACGTCCTTCCCGTTATACCACACGAACCATGGCAACAGAAGCCGATCCCAATCCCAGGGCCAATTAAAGAGCAGTTTATCAAATTAGTCAGAGAAAGACTTAGGACGGGACTTTACGAGCAATCGTGTTCCAGTTATTCGAGTCCGGTCTTTTGCATCAAAAAGCAAGATGGGAAATTAAGAATAGTTCATGATCTACAAAAATTAAATAGCGTAACCATTAAAGACTCCGGATTACCACCCTCACCAGAAGAATTGGTTCAATCTTTCACTGGTAGAGCTTGTTATGGTTTAGGAGATATAATGGGAGGATACGACAAACGAGAATTAGCCCCTGAATCAAGACCTTTAACTACTTTTGAGACTCCTCTAGGAAGATTTCAACTTACCAGATTACCTCAAGGTGCCACTAATTCAGTAGCAGTGTACCAAGCTCAAATGACTTGGATTCTGCAAGACAAGATACCAAACAACGTAGGAATATTTATCGATGACGGAGGAATAAAAGGTCCAGAATCTGACTACGGAGGAGAGACCCTGAAGGAGAATCCTGGAATCCGCCGATTTATCTACGAATATGCTATCACGCTGGAGAGAATTTTATTTAGAATTGAAGAAGCAGGACTCACTATTTCTGCCAAGAAATTTGCTTGTTGTGTTCCAGCATTAGATTTGGTTGGCCATGTTGTTTGCAAAGAAGGAAGAAGAGTGTCGAAGAAGAAGTTGAATAAAATTGAAACTTGGCCAACTCCACAAAATCCAACCGACGTCAGAGGTTTCTTGGGCGTTTGCGTTTACGTTCGAATGTTTATCAAAGACTTTTCCAATATAGCCGCTCCTCTGAGAAAACTTACGTGGAAAGACGCTAAATGGGACTGGACAGAGGACTGTCAAAAATCCTTTGAACAACTCAAGAAGATTGTAGGCATGGACATCACATTAAAAAAATTGGATTACGGTGAAAAAGCAGGAAAAATTAGATTATCTGTTGATTCAAGTAAAATTGCCACAGGAGCCATACTCAGTCAAGAGGATTCAAAAGGCATGGATAGACCGGTTCTCTATGAATCTGTAGTTTTCTCACGGCGAGAATCAAGCTATTCACAATCAAAACTAGAATTATGCAGTGTAACAAAAGTTCTAAAAAAATTACAAACTGTTTTATGGGGTCAGCATTTTGAATTGAGAGTGGATGCAAAATGTCTTATTGGCATGATCAACAACCCCTCCTTACCTAATGCACCAATGAACCGATGTATCGCCTTCATTCAATTATTTTCATTTGAACTAATTCACGTTTCGGCCAAAAGTTTCACAATGCCAGATGGATTATCCAGAAGACCGCCAGATCCGGATGAAGAAGACAGTCCCAGTTTTGATGAGGACGAGGAGTTAATGAGACCACACCCAGGATTTGGAACGAAGGCAGCTTTCTCCATACGAATGTTGGGGACAACAGCTAAGTTGGGGGAGGAAGTTGTGAACCTACAAGAAGGATTCTGGAAAAATTTAGAATATTATTTATCAACAATGAATAGACCCCCAGGTATTAGTGCAGAAGAATTCAAGCAAATTAAACAAAAATCTTTCTTTTTCTTCATTTCAAACAGTGTTTTACACAAAAAGAGCCTGCCATATTCGCAAG